CCCCCCTTGCAGGGAACAGACAAAAGTTCGCACCCAAAGCTGTCAGTGGGGTTTCTGTGGTGGGGGCAGCCATGGGGCCTGGCCTGATCCTGCTGGAGACGGTGCTGGTGCTGCTGCTGCTGCTGCTGGGGCCACCTCTGGTCACTGGAACCGAGAGTAGACTCCGCACCCCTCCCGGTAAGCAGCTGGGGCTCTTTTTTTGGGAGGGGGGAGGGATTTGGGGGGGGGGTGAGAGACTGCTGGTTCTGATGGGGCCGTCCCTGGTCCATGGAATGAAAGGAAAGATGAAATGGAGTTGAGTGGGGGGGGGATGGGAGAGATGGGCCCCACCCTCTCGCAATGGGAGGGAGGACCCTCTTTCTGACCCTGGGCGAGGGGATTTCAGATTCCTTCCTGTTGCCCTGTCCGGTTGCAGATGGACAAGTGATTCAGCTTAGCATACTTTATTTAGTGCGGAACAAGACAACTTTAGCCGGCTCACAGGCCGGCTTATATCCCCCGTGAATCCACCACCCAGAACACCCCCCCCCACTTCCCAATAGGTCCTAACTAGTGGCCAGAGTCCCACAGGCTCTCTCCCGGAGCCTAGTGCTCTGATTGGTGCGGGCTGGGATCCGCATCGTCCTTTGTTTATCGGAGCGAAGCTCGACGCTTGCGCTTGACCACATAGTGTCCAAGCAAACCACGCGGTCAGGTCATGATACATTACACTGGTACTTGATATACTTCATTTATTCCCCCCCCTCTTCCTCCCCAGAGGGGACCCCCAACTTTGCTCTCCCGCCTGATTTTTTGAGCTGGGGATGTCGGGGATCGAACCCGGGACCTTCTGCATGCCGAGCAGAGGATGAAGCAGGAGACCAGTTTCTTATATCCTGCTTTCCTGTGGTTATTCACGAAGAGCATTTTGCAGATGGCCCAAAGACGACCCCCCCCCAACATTATTTTTCTTTTTAAAAGTCTACTTGGGTTCAGCCCTGCTAGGGTTGCCAGCTTCCAAGTGGCTGAATCAATACAAAAAAACTCCATGTATAAATTAGGAACAGAAGTTTATGTTTGAACATGGGGTGCGGGGCGGGGGGGGGGGGGGGGCCAGAAGGTAGCCTCGCTGAGTGTGCAAAAAACCCTGGAGCCGGCCCTGCCTCTACTCAAAGGAGTCCCAAAGCGGCTTACAAGCTCCAGGCAGGAGGGGCTGTGAGGGTTTGGAGAGAACTGGGACTGGCCCAAGGTCACCCAGCGGGCTTCCTGGGGAGGAGGAAGAGGGGGGGGAATCAAACCCCATTCTCTGGATGAGCGTCTGTCGCTTTTCACCACAACAGGACGCTGGCTCTCTGCCACTGGCCGTGACCCTTCCTCTGGGCTGTTGTCGGGATAAAAAAGGAGAGGGAGAATGATGAAAGCCGCCTTGGGCCATCACTGGTGGGCTATAGGGGTTGGTTTGCTGCCCCCCAGCCAAAAGAGGACAAATCCCCCCCCAAGGCCTGCTGGACAGGATAGTTTTAAGCAGAGTCCAGCCGCCCCACTTGTCCGAAGCAGTGGGGTTGAGTGGGGTTCACCACTGCGGGGGGGGGGCTGCCTAGGAGAAGAATGGGGGCCAGGAGAGGGAAATGGGGCTCTTGAATTTGCCCCCTGAGCATACACACACACACATTTCCCTCTGCCTTCCCTTGATGCTCTCAGTGAAAAATGATCTTCCAGAAGGTGAGGAGTTGTTGGTGCTTCTGCCCGGAGACTGGTGACGCTACCCCAGATTGAGTTCTCATTGGAGCTCCTCTGTGCCGGGATCCCGCCCACTCCCCAGGACTTCAGCGGCAAAACCCCTCCCCTCCCTCCCCGGCACTGAACAGACAAAAGTTTCCACCCAAGGCTAGAAGAAGTGGGTTTTCTGTGGGTCAGCCACGGGCCCTGAACCAATCCTTCTAGAGATGCTGTTGGCGCTTCCCTGGACTAGGGAACCGAGAAAGGAGACACATGCAATGTTCCCTCTAAGCTGTGGAGTCTTGTGAGCAAAAATTCTGCTTTGTGAGCTACCGGCATTAAAGTTGCGAGCAGGTGATTTGGCTGTTGCATAAATCAGTTTGCTCTGAAACCATCCTTTCTGATCTAAGACCTAGCTCACAATAACTCAGCTTAGAGGGAACATTAGAAGGCATTGGGTAAAGTGAGCTGGGGGGGAAGATTGGAGGGGGGGCTTGGAGAGACAGGCCCCTCCTCCTCACAATGGGAGGGAGGACCTTTCCCCTGAGGTGGGGGGAGGAGATTTGAACACACACACCATACTTTGAGACAGGTCACTTTGTCCAGGAGTTGCCAACACCCAGAATCCTTTGCCGAGGGGAGAAGAGAGGTGTGAAACTTCTGACATTTTGAAGCCATAAGGTGGGGTGGGGGCGAAACAGAAATATCTGTCCCGTCAAACCTAATCTTGATTTACTGATTGAACAACATAAAATGCATGATTTATAACTTACTTAGCATATAAATTCAGCCCAGTAGCCGTGTTGGTCCGAAGCAGCCGAACCAAGTTTGAGTCCAGGGGCACTTTTAAGACCAACAAAGCTTTACCATTACATTCCATACCTCCTCACCCTCAGCCTATATGTAATGGTTCTGTTTCAATGTATTTGGAGAAGTGTGCTTGCTTGGAAACTGAGATGAGCACTGCCCCCTAGAGTCGGATTCGACTGGCTTTCGAGCAAGGGAATCCTTAACTTTAGATACAAGCAACAAAGCAAGGATAGCTACCAGAAATTTCACACACCTTAAATAGAAGAAGAAGAGGAGGAGATTGGATTTATACCCCGCCCTTCACTTGGAGTCTCAGAGCGGCTTACAAACTCCTTTCCCTTCCCCTCCCCACAACAGACACCCTGTGCGGTGGGTGGGGCTGAGAGAGCTCTGACAGAAACTGCTCTTTTTCAAGGACAGCTGTGCCAGAGCTTGTGACTGACCCAAGGTCACATCAGCAGGTGCAAGTCGAGGAGTGGGGAATCAAACCCGGTTCTCCCAGATTAGAGTCCGCACACTTAACCACTACACCAAACTGGGCCCTGTTTCCTTTTAAAAAACTGAGCCAGTGTGGTGTTGTGGTTGAACTGTCGGCCTGGGATCCGGGAAGCCCCAGGTTCAAATCCCCATGCAGCCCGGGAAGCTTGCTGGATGACCTTGGTCTAGTCACCCGCTCTCAGCCAGACCTACCGTACAGGGCTGTTGTTGTTGTGAGGATAAAATGAAGGAGAGGAGCATGAATATGTAGGCCACTTCAGGCCCATCATTGGAGGCCAAAATGGGGAACAAATGAAGCAGATAAATCAATCAAATGCTTTCTTGAACTACTCCTTGCTACACATTCTGAGGAATGGTAGCCTTGCCGTTCCACAAACAGAGTGCTCGGGTATGGGCAACTGCCCGTCTCGCCCATTTGCAGGGCGGCACCTTCAGCAGGCTTTGCTCAAAATGAGCAGAGCAGCCACAGCAGGGCCTTTGGGGAGAGGCGGTCCTGCAGAGATGGGGGCCCAGGGGGTCACGAAGGGCTTCGCAAATGGAGGTTGGATTCATCCCTCTGCCAGCCTCCCTCTTGGAGGAGGGGAGCCATGTTAAGCTGTTTCGGAAGCCCAGTGGGGCCACCTTGAAGCCTAACCAGGTCAATTCCAGGATGAGCTTTTCCAAGGTAGGGCTCACTTCCTCAGATACAAGAGGGGAAAGACTCCCCTCCACCTCATTTTTATCGAAAATCCCAGAATGGGAGGGGGAAAGAGGGGAGAGGCGGAGTAGAGAGAGGCCTCAGATAAGGGGTGGTGGGAGAGGTCCCAGGTTCTGGCCTCTCTCACCCTGTGCTGAAGGTTAACCAAAGTGCCACGAAGCAGGGTAAATAAGTTATTCAGAAAGATCCTGTGGGAAGCATGAGAGGACTGAGGGATCTCAGTCCGAGGTTATGGGCCTCCATGCAAGGAATAAAGTTGCCCCACAGAGGATTCATCAGGAGCTGTTCTGGACTTGCTGGCAGGACCCTTACTGAGTGAGGAATCCCAAGCCCTGGGTTCAAACCCCTCCTGTAGTCTGGGGTTAAACGGAGACTTGGTCTTCCCCATTCATTAACATTTCTACGGCCCCCATCTGCTTAACTGAGTTGTCCTATCAAGTGCATCAAGGCCACCTTCCTGACTAATTTAACAGCTTCACCTGGTGTGTGTGTTTGTGTGTGTGTGCAGGGGGGAAATAGTGGGGTTGCCAGCTCTGGCTTGCTAAATTCCTGGAGGGTTTTTTTTGGGGGGGGGGCTGGCTGCTGGGGAAGGCAGAATATGGGAGCGGTCAAGAGGGAACGGATCTTCGTTGTCTTGAGGTCCCTTGTCGCTCCAGAAGGATCGAGGATGGGTGAGTAGGCATCAACATGACAAATGAGGTTCAATGGGCACCAACATGACAAATGAGGTTCTGTTTTATGTTGTTTTTATGTGTCTTAACGTTGGCACTGGTGCCTCCTCGTTAGCCGCCCTGATCCTTTGGGGAGGGCGGGATCTAAATCCAATAAATAAATAAATAAATAAAATTCCAGGAGATCCCCAGGGGGGTTGGTAACACTGTCGGTTAGAAGGTTGGGCGGGGATTCTTCTCTCCCCCCTCCCCACATGAGTTAGGCGCTCCCATCCTGGGTCAGCCTGTTGTGGCTCGTTCCACCCCCCCCCTCGGGGCACCCCCCGCAGTTCCTCCCTCCCCAGTTTGATTTCTAAGGGGGGGGGGAGAAGGAGCAAGCGGCTGCACGGCGGGGTGTGTGTGTGTGTTAGATCGGGCTAACAAAGGATCGCAGAGTGATTTCAGCTCAGTGATTCAGCTTTATTCGAAGTAGCAAGCAAACACTCAAACGAATTCCAAAACCAGAACAGAACACAATGGGAGCTATGCTCCTTTTAAACATAACCGGGCTAATATAGCCACGCCTATTTACATTTAACAACCAATAAGATTGATGAGTTAAAGACCAATGGGAGTCTTTCCCTCGCAGGAGCTAGTGCAGTTCCTGATTGGTCGCTGTTAGAGGGGACCAATGAGAGAGTGGTTCAGAGAAGCCTTCGTCTGGCTCAAGCTTTGCATGGGGAGTGAATGAGGTGATTCACACAAGTAATTCCAATACATAACAGGGGGTGCAGGTGAAGGCAAGGAGGGGCGCTTCGGCGGCTCCCGCCCGAGGAAGTCACCGGGAGTCCCAGTGTTCCCTCTAAGCTGTGGAGTCGTGTGAACAAAGATGCTACTTGGTGAGCTGCTGGCATGAAAGCTGTGAGCCGGCGATTTGGCTGCTGCATCAGTCAGTTTGCTCTGGAGCCCTCCTCCCTGAGCCGAGGCTAGAAAACTGTGAGCTGGCTCACCCTCACTCAGCTTAGAGGGAACACTGACCGGGACCAATGTTCCCTCTAAGCTGCAGAGCCTTGTGAGCAAAAATGCTACTTTGTGAGCAACTGGCATTAAAGATGTGAGCGGGCGAATTGACTACTGCATAAATCAGTTTGCTCTGGAGCCCTCCCTTCCTGAGCGAACACAAAAATGTGTGAGCCGGAGGCTAAAAACCTGTGAGCTGGCTCACACTAACGGAGACTTGGTGAGGGAACACTGACCGGGACCCTCACCCTTCTTCTCCCCCCCCCATCCTAGAAAACTGTGAGCTGGCTCACCCTCACTCAGCTTAGAGGGAACACTGACCGGGACCAATGTTCCCTCTAAGCTGCAGAGCCTTGTGAGCAAAAATGCTACTTTGTGAGCAACTGGCATTAAAGATGTGAGCGGGCGAATTGACTACTGCATAAATCAGTTTGCTCTGGAGCCCTCCTTCCTGAGCAAACACAAAAATGTGTGAGCCGGAGGCTAAAAACCTGTGAGCTAGCTCACACTAACTCGGCTTAGAGGGAACACTGACCGGGACCCTCACCCTTCTTCTCCCCCCCCCCATCCCCGCAGCTGCCCACTTCCTCTACCAGGGCAAGGTGGAGTGCCGCTTCGCCAACGGGACGGCGGGGGAGGTCCGGTTCCTGGAGCGTGACTTCTGGGACCGGCAGGAGTGCGTCCGCTTCGACAGCCGCCTGGGGCGCTACCGGGCCATCTCCGAGCTCTGCACGGACGACGAGCGGGACTACAACCGCGACCTGCAGTGGCTGGAGAACAGGCGGGCACAGGTGGACGCCTTCTGCCGCTACAGCTACCTGGTGATGGAGACGGGGCGGGTGAGGGGGGGACACGGGGGAGGGGAGAGACCAGATCTGGGGGGGAAGCCGGATCCCCACTGAGGGAGGTTTGCTTACTTAGGGACCTTGGAGGGGGGCAATCCCGGGTCAAACTTTAGAATGACCCCGCCCACGTCCACAGGCTCCACCCCCAAACCCAAGCATCCACCCCAAAGCCACTCTTAAGGTCACACTGACTATCACATCCCGGTGCCTGGAGAAACTTTCAGTATTTCTTACATTTTGGAATTGTGTGGAACTCTACTTTATATTTTGTATTTGCGGGTTTTAAATTGTATGTTGGTTTTAAACTGTGTGTAAGCTGCAGTGGCTCAAATGGCTAAGCTGAACTGCAGGCTGTGGAAGGTCAGTAGTTCAGCCAGATCTGAGTGTGCCGCATGACAGAGTGAGCTCCCGTCTCTAGTTCCAGCTCCTGCCAACCTAGCAGTTCCAAAGCAAGAAATTACAAGTAGATAAATAGGTACCGCTTTGGTGGGAAGGTAACAGCATTTAGCCATGCCAGCCACATGACCATGGAAATGTCTTTGGACAGCACTGGTTCTTCGGCTTTGAAACGGAGGTGAGCACCGCAACCCTAGAGTCGGATTCGACTGGCTTCCGAGCAAGGGAACCTTTACCTTTAAGCCACCCTGAGCTGCTTCGGCGGGAGGGTGGGGGTAGAAATTTAATAAATAAATAAATATGTAAAACAACATCAAAAGAAAGGTTTTTTTAAAGTCCAAGTCATGATATTTGCAATTACATCAAAGGAGAAAACAAAATGAAAAAAAGGTTAGACTAAAAAGAAGAAAAACCAGGCTTGTAATAAATTGAAATTAATTCTTAAGCAAGCTTCAAATAATATTTTAAATGGTGATTTCACAACACTTAAATGCATCATATTGACATATGTCTGGCTGATTTTTCCCACCAAAACTTCAGTTTACCTCAGTGTCTGAGTCGCCCTCCAGTAGCATGTATACCTTCTGTATTGATATAAACTTAAAACTGTCCTACCCTATGTTCAGAGATTTAGTTTAAGCTTTTTCTCAGCACAGGAACTCAAGTGAAAATACAGGAGCTATCTCGTCTTGTATTTAAACCCTTAATGAAATAGCACTTGAGGCAATTTAACTTTCAAAAACAGAATAAAGATTTCATTAAACAGGCAGGGAATATATGTATAATAGGAGTAGTCAAGGTTTTGAGATTGCTGAGGTTAAAACCTTCTAATATATCCAGATTTGAATTTTTGGAATATTCAAGAGAGTGTATTTGTAGTCTGGTTTCAAACTTTTCTAGTTCTTTCTTTGAGAGGTACTTTGTTTAGTATATTTCAGCTCTAATACTGTTCTTAATGATATTTCTTCTGGAGGACAGCATTTGCTTAAAGTTTCTATTTTTTATTTATTTATTTATTACTTTCGATTTATATCCCACCTTGCCAGCGGAAGCTGGCTCACGGTGGTGTACAAGTTAAAATACAATAAAACACCAATGCATAAATGCAATACTATAAAATTTCACATAAACAAACAATTTACATAAAGTGCAAGTAAGTGCAGATGGCAATTGCTATAAGATGGTCCAATGTAAGAAGGCCAATATCCAAAGTTGTTCTTAATGCCAGTAACACGAGGGCCGTGGCATTTTCCGTTTTTGATAGCTCATTCGTCAGTGGCGGCTCCTAATCAAAGGCCTGGTGGAAGAGCTCCGTTGTACAGGCCCTGAGGAACTGTAGAAGGTCCCACAGGGCCCTGATGTATTCTGGGAGCTCGTTCCACCAGCGGGGAGCCGCCACTGAGAAGGCCCTAGCCCTGGTGATGGCCAATCTGGCATCTTTTGGACCAGGGAGAGTCAGGCGATTTTGCGACCCTGACCTCAGTGCTCTCTGGAGGACATATGTGGAAAGGTAGTCCCTCAGGTAGGCAGGCCCCCGACCATATAGGGCGTTAAAGGTCAAAACCAGCACCTTGAAATGAATTCGGTATACTATTGGCAGCCAGTGCGATGCCTTCAGCACAGGCCGGATGTGATCTCGTACAGAGAGATCCATCAGCAGCCTGGCTGTCGCATTTTGCACCAGCTGCAGCTTCCGGACTTGGGACAAGGGCAGCCCCATGTAGAGAGCGTTGCAGTAGTCTAGTCTCGAGGTGACCATAGCATGGATCACTGTTGCCAGGTCATTGCGTTCAAGGAAGGGAACTAACTGCCTAATCAGCCAAAGATGGTAGAAGGCTGCCTTGGCTGTGGCTGCTACCTGGGCCTCCATTGTTAAGGCGGCATCCAGGAGCACTCCCAAACTCCTGACCCTCGGCGCTGGCACAGGACCTCTGTCTTCGTTGGATTCTCCATCTGTCTGTGCTTTGCTGGTTCTCCTCCATCTCTGAAATCCCCCCCCTCTCTTTTCCCCGCACTTCCAGTTGTGCCCACGGTGACGATCTCCCCCACCAAGGGGGACCCCCTGGCCCACCACACCCTCCTGATTTGCACCGCGGCTGGCTATTATCCCCAGGGGGTTAAGATCACGTGGCTGAAGAACGGGCAGGAGCAGACGGCGGGGGTGGGGTACGCGGAGGAGCTCCAGAACGCGGACTGGACCTACCAGTACCAGGCGATGCTGGAGACGGTGCCCCAGCGGGGAGACCTCTACGCCTGCCAGGTGGAGCACAGCAGCCGGAAGGAACCCATCACCGTGCAGTGGGGTGAGAGACTCTGGAGGTCTTGCCCTGTCCCCCATGGACACACGATTCCATAAAGTGGTCGGGAGTTCCAAGGGCTTGCATCAACTGACCAGTTGACGGTGCAGTGAGTCCCCCACACTTGTCAAGGACTCCCCCTTTCCGCGGGGGAGCTGAAGCCCCTCTCTAGGGTGGGATGCAGCCCTTGCCAGGGTGCAGCACAGGGATCTCCAACATGGTGCCCTGGTGCCCACCGGCAACTCTCCTGTTTCCTGCCAAGTGTTCTGAGAAAGCGGGTGGGTAATATTGTGTCGGTGGCAGCTGCCTCCACAGCGTTAGTTTAATTCCGTCTCAGTCTTTCCCCATGTGCTTTTTTTTAAAAATGGACCCAATTCTCCCTGTGAAATCTGTGGGCCCGAAGGCCAAGCCTGGCCTCGATCCGCCTTCTCACCCGAGGCTCCTTCTCTCCCCACAGAGCCACAGACGTCGGACTCCGCCAGGAGCAAAGTGTGGACGGGGGCTGTGGGGGCTGTTCTGGGGCTGGTCTTTGTGGCCGTGGGACTTTATCTGTACCTGAAGAGCAAGAAAGGTGAGGGGGAGGGGTTGGGGGCTGCAACTCCCCCTCCGGCTCTGGAATCCGCCCATTAATTGGATCGACTTGAGATGGAGAAATGAGGGGGCCCAGCCTCAAAAAGCTCTCACATCTTTTTTTTTGGGGGGGGGTCTCTTCCCACCGTCTGTATTGGGGACTGCGGGAGGACCCCCAACGGTCTTGGGATACAGTCAAATATTTTAATTTCTTTAGCAGTTTTGGCCAGACTCAGAACGCTAGAAAAAGTATGGTGGAGGACAACTGAGATGATGACGGGGCTGGAGCAACTTTTCTGTGGGAAAAGGCTGAAGAGTGTGGGTTTTTTTCAGTTTAGAGAAAAGAAGAAGCAGAAGAGATTGGATTTATACCCCGCCCTTCACTTGGAGTCTCAGAGCGGCTTACAAACTCCTTTCCCTTCCCCTCCCCACAACAGACACCCTGTGAGGTAGGCGAGGCTGAGAGAACTCTGACACAAACTGCTCTTTCAGGAACAGCTGTGCCAGAGCTTGTGACGGACCCAAGGTCACATCAGCAGATGCAAGTGGAGGAGTGGGGAATCAAACCCGGTTCTCCCAGATTAGAGTCCGCACACTTAACCACCACACCAAACTGGCTCTCAGTGTTGATCCAGTATTCTATCTGGAGCCAGTGCAGCGGGCGGAGCACTGGCTGAATAGGTACTCTTGAAGGTGTTCCCGTAAGAACACACATTGCCACATTCGTGTGTGGCACGAATCGCCTCGGCCGGGAGGGCGGGACAGAAATTTAATAAATCAAATCATTCTGGACCAGCTGAAGTTTCTGGGTCAGCCTCAAGGGTAGCCCTACGTAGAGCGAATTACAGTAGTCTAGCTCAGAGTTGACATCTGCATGGATCACTGTAGTTAAGTCAGGGGGTGGAAGGAAAGGAACCCGTTGCTTGATGTGGCATAGAGGGAGAAAAAGCAAGTCTAGCAACACCTCTCTCTCTCTCTCTCTCTCTCTCTCTCTCTCTCTCTTGCAGCGACTCCCCTGCCACCCCCCACAGGTAAGGGTCTCTCTGTTTCTTTATAGCCCACCTTTTCTCCTCCTGAGACTCCGGGCAGAGGAGAAAGTCAGAAAACCCCCCCAGGCTGTAGGAAGTATACGACGGATTGTCCCCTCCCTCGGTTTCTGTGCCTGTCTCCATCGGGCCTTTCTCTCAGAATTTGCCCCAAAGTAGTTGCGTGAAGTTCAAAAGGGGCCACACCACACTGGGAGGGCTCGAGAGCCCGAAAGCCTTTCCTGCAAGTTGAATCTGGCCCACCACAGGCATTACCTGCAGCGACCTTGAAGTGGGGGTGGGACAGTATGGTTATCCCCGGGTTGTGGGTGGGGCTTGTGTGGCTCAGGTGAGCTCCCTAGGCCCTGCCACCCTCTCTGAAAATTGACTTTTTGCTTCTGGTTTCTCCCCCTTCCTCCCCCTCCTCTCTGGACAGCGCTCATCGGTTAACCCTTCCTGCCCCAGGATCCTGCCTGTGGAAAAGCATTGTCCCAGCGGTGGCTTGGGGGGGGGGGGGGTGAAGGTGGACAGAGGAAGGTCTTCTGGCGCCTGCACTGCTCCCCCCCACACACACACCTTTCCCCGCGATTGGCTTCTTCTGTATTTCTCTGTTATTGTTCTGGGAAAAGGGGACTATCTTTCTCCAGTACTGTATAGCTACAGAGGGGCATTTGGGGGCCTGGCCCCCCAACTTTCTGCCAAGGCCCCACAAGTTCCCCTCCAGCCTAACCCCCTCCCCCGACTCTCTGGGCCCCCCCGGAGGACTCCCCATTTTTTCTGCCGTCCCTTCCCCCAGTGGGGCTTGCTCTGAGCGACTTCCTCACATGCCAACAACCCAATCGGTTCCATCCCGGGCTGGCGGCTGGGGGGGAGAGGGGCTGTGGGTCCCGAGCTGGCGGTGGCAGCACAAGGCAAGCCAGCAGGCAAGGTGGGGCTGGTGTTCCTGCCGTGCCCGGTGTAGCGCAGGGACTCAGTCTGCTCTGGGGAGATCAGCGGCCCAGAGTTACTTCAGAGGCCCCTGAGCTGGCAAGATGCAGTGCCCGATGCAAACGGCTTCTCCTTGGCTCTCTCTGCTCTGTGGAGATCAGCTGCCACCACCCAGTTACCTCCTGGTAAGCCACAGTGGCGGAAGACAGGGCGGCAGGAGCAGTTAGGAGTGAGAGAATGGGGGGAGGTGGGGGGGCAGTGTTCCCTCTAAGCTGAGTTAGTGTGAGCTAGCTCACAGTTTTTTAGCCTCCGGCTCACACACTTTTGTCTTAGCCCAGGAAGGAGGGCTCCAGAGCAAACTAATGTATGCAGTATCCAAGTCACTCGCTCACCACTTTAATGCCAGGAGCTCACAGAGTACAATTTTTGCTCACGAGACTCCACAGCTTAGAGGGAACACTGGTGGGGGGGTGAAGGGTGTCCAGTTCCAGAGGACACTTGGAGGTCAGAGCTCCGAAGTTGTGGGGCTCCTTGCCGGGCCAGGGCAGGATTTGTCCAGGGCACTCAAGGTCAGCAGGAGCCGATCTCACGGAGGAGACGTTGGTGCCAAAAGACATCCCTGGCTGCGCCAACCCGGGTGGCATGGTCGTCGGTCCCAGCGCTTCTTCCCCCAACTCTGAATATAAAACCTGCCAGGGGAGCCGCCATCTGCCGCCAATCCTCCTCCGCCCTTTAATTAAATCAACTTTAATTAAATTAGCCAGTGCCCCCCTTCAATAATCTTAAACCCCTCCCCGACTTAAAATTTCCTGGCTATGGGCCTGGTCCAGAGGTTGCCAACTCTGGTTGGGAAATTCCGTGATATTTCTGGGGGGGGGACCCCCCCAATGGACCCCTCCCTCCTCATTTATTTAATGGATTCACATAATTCATAGTCCCCCTCTCTCACTGAACTTCAAGGATTATATAAGGTAAATCCAACACAGCCAACAGAACAAACGAAGCAAGAGGGTTTGGGTTGCAGCGACAGGAAAAGAAGCGGAACTCTGAAGCACAGCGGAACCCGTAGAAGAACAGATTGTACGCAGTGGGACAGTCCACAGTCCTGTTACCCAAGTGGCCCGCATATGTCTATGTGTCAACTCTAGGAGCGTTCCCCCCCCGCCTTAACCTGTCAGGAGCCCCCCACATGTGTACCTGGGGCAGGTATTCTTGGGCCCTCCTGCCAGGGGCTCACCAGAGCCTCAGACGTGGGCAGCACCTCATGGAGAATGCAGATTCCTGGAAAGGGAGAGAGGGAGGTTTCAAGCTGAATGCTTATTAAGAAAACTAACGGCGGAGGGAATGAGTGAACTGCGCGCAAGTGATCATGTGCATGCCCAATTCTATAAATTATTTCACCACCTACTAAATCTGAACCTAAGCGGATTAGCTTGCCCAATGGAGGAATGGCTGGGGGGTGGAGTAAATTGGGGGGAGCAGGGGTCATTTCCTGCAGGAGCGCATAGGAGTGGAGCTCCGGCAGTAAAGAGCCCATGGGGCAGGCACATGCAACAAGCCCCACCCCCTGCTCCCAGCAGCCCTCAGTCAGAGCAAGAAGCAGCCAGGTATGTTGCAGAGCCAACCAGTCCAAATCAGTCCAGTGGCACCTTTAAGACCAAGTTTTATTCAGGTACAAGCTCTCCCTCCTCTGTGAGGGCAGATCTGCACGTCCCCCCCCCACACCAATAGCTAGCAATCCAAAACAGTCCAGTGGAGCCTGAGTGGTGGGTGTTGCCTTCTGACACACTTCTGGTGATGTCAGGGGGTGTGGCATATGCAAGTTAGTTATGCTAATGAGTTATACTAATGAGCTCCTGCACCTCTTTTTCTACGAAATGACCCCTGGGGGGGAAGTAAACCGATGAGCCAGTCTAAGAAGAAGTGGAGTCCAGGAAGGTTTGCTAGACGAGAGGAAGAAGCAGTGGTGGGGAAGGTGAAAAATGGGGGGGGATAACACCTCCCCCCACCCTGGTAGGGTTGCCAGGTCTGGGTTGGGAAATACCTGGAGACTTCGGGGGTGGACCCCGGAGAGGGTGGGGTTCAGGGAGGGGCCTCAGCCTGGTCCAATGCCACAGAGTCCACCTTTCAAAGCCGCCGTTTCCTCCAGGGGAGCTTTCTCTGTCAGCTGGTGGAGATCAGTTGTACAAGCGGGAGATCTCCAGGCCCCACCTGGAGGCTGGCAAGCCTACACCCCAGGCAGGCAAAGGGTTTGGGGAGGGAGCCCAAAATGGGACAAGGGGGGGAGGCAGGGAGGGAGGGGGCTGCAGATGACAGGAGCTGCCCCCAACCCCACTTGCCATTCGTCAGCCAGGTCTCCTCTCATAGAATCATAGAATGTTAGAGTTGGAAGGGACCTTTAAGGTCATCTAGTCCAACCCCCTGCACTCTGCAGGAGCATAGCCGAAAGATAGCCCTACATACCTACAACATACACGAAAGATGGTCGTCCAGCCTTCTCCGCTTGAAAACGTCCAGTGAAGGAGCATCCACCACCTCCCGAGGCGGACTGTTCCCCGCTCAGCCACTCTTACAGTTAGGAAGTTTCTCCTGATATTTAGCCGGTATCGACTCCCTTGTCATTCCCACCCATTAGATCTAGTCTTGCAATCCGGAGCAAGAGAGAATAGATCTGCTCCATCTTCTACATGACAGCCCTTCAAATACTTAGAATCATAGAATGTTACAGTTGGAAGGGACCTTGCGGGTCATGTAGTCCAACCCCCTGCACTCTGCAGGAGCACAGCCGAAAGACAGCCCTACATACCTACAACATACCCGAAAGATGGTCATCCAGCCTTCTCCGCTTGAAAACGTCCAGCGAAGGAGCACCCACCACCAATGTCCCCTCTAAGCTGCGGAGTCTTGTGAGCAAAAATTCTACTTTGTGAGCTACTGGCATTAAAGTTGTGAGCGAGCGATTTGGCTACTGCATAAATTGGTTTGCTCTGGGGCCCTCCTTCCTGAGCTAAGACAAAAATATGTGAGCCAAAGGCTAAAAAACTGTGAGCTGGCTCACACTAACTCAGTTTAGAGGGAACACTGCCCACCACCTCCCGAGGCGGACTGTTCCACTGCTCAACCACTCTGACAGTTAGGAAGTCTCTCCTGATATTTAGCCGGTATCGACTCCCTTGTCATTCCCACCCATGAGATCTAGTCTTGCAATCCGGAGCCAGAGAGAATACATGCGCTCCATCTTCTACATGACAGCCTTCCTATTAAAGCCGGAGCATGAAGAGGGAGCGATCCGACCAATGCTCCCTCTAAGCTGTGGAGTCTGGTGAGCAAAAATTCTACTTTCTGAGCTCCCAGCATTCATGCTGTTGGC